GTCTCTGCCCCCTCTGCCGCTTTCCCTGGAAAACTGGGGGCAGAGGGAAGGGGACAGGAGAGGTCCAGGGACTCACCGGGGTTCGGCTGGAGGTACTCTATTGTTCTGGTCAGTACTTCTGTAACCGCCTTGCTGGTGAGGTCCACTTTCTGTAGGAAAGACAAGATGAGCCAGCAGCAGTGAAGTTCAGCTCAGGGCTTTGGCAAGGTCACAAAGGAGTCAGATGGACTATCTCAGAGATTCCTCTTGTTCCATACTCACCTTTTCCATTTCCTTGAAGTCATCGTCAAGCTTGGTCCCTTCAGCTCCTCCAACCTTCTCGCTGACGAGCTGGAGAAAAAGAACAAGGGAGGAAGAATCAGGCATAGCAGTAGCTGACTGCTTAAAGCTCCTTGTACCTCATGCAGCAGGTCCTCAGGACAGAAAGGGAAGAGGGCTGGGTCCAGACAGCATCTGCAAGAGAATGGAGGTGGCAGGAACAGCCCAAAGCACACCCCCTCTACTCTGCCCTGCTGAGACCCCACCTGGAGCACTGGGTCCAGTTCTGGGCTCCCCAGATCAAGAAAGATGAGGAACTCCTGGAGAGAGTCCAGAGGAGGGCAACTAGGATGATGGGGGGACTGGAGCATCTCCCCTACGAGGAAAGGCTGAGGGAGCTGGGCTTGTTCAGCCTGGAGAAGAGAAGGCTGAGAGGGGATCTCATCAACACCTACAAATATCTCAAGGGTGGGGGTCACGAGGATGGAGCCAGACTCTTCCCAGTGGTGCCCAGTGCCAGGACAAGGGGCAATGGGCACAAACTGCAGCAGAAGAGGTTCCAGTTGAACGGGAGGAAGAACTTCTTGACTGTGAGGGTGCCCGAGCCCTGGCCCAGGCTGCCCAGGGGGGCTGTGGAGTCTCCTTCTCTGGAGATCTTCCACCCCCGCCTGGACGCTGTCCTGTGCCCCCTGCTCTGGGTGAGCCTGCTTGGGCAGGGGGGTGGGATGGGTGAGCTCCGGAGGGCCCTGCCAACCCCTGCTGTTCTGTGAAAAGTCATGGCTCTTTGCTAACACTGCCCCACTAAAAATCCAAGCATCTCCTTACCCTCCCAAAGCACAGCTCAGTCAGGATATTTCTCACCCAACAGAAGCTACACAGCTCCTTAAATCACACCACCACCCCCCAGCTCCGACTCCAACGCTTGCTGGAAAAAGCGAGCAGCAGAATTGTCTCTCGACTCCATTTTGAGCCAAGGCTTCAGTTCCACACACGGCAAAATGCAAGCAAACAGGGAACGATCACCGCTCACAGTGTCTGGAGAGAGCAGGGACCTCGCAAAGCTCTGAACCATCGCTCCTAGGGGAAATGCCGGAGGAGCTCAGCATCTGGAGCATGGGGGGTTTGAATTCTTTGCAAGCGGAGGATAAAGAGATCCGCAGAAGCGACGGGAAAGTTTTCAAATCCATTTATCAAAGCGTCTCCGACGCCTGTTTTGAGACTAGTGAAAAGGCAAGAGGTTTGGCAAGCTGTAAGGACAGGGCTGCTTTTGGCTATTGGAGTGAGGGGCTTAGCTGCTTTCTTCTAAACAACACTTGGTCTAAGAACAAGGTCTGCTCCCTAAACCTCACCGTTCAACGGCCCGAGCCAAAAGATAAGAATTGCCTTATTAAATCCTAAAAGGTGTCCTTCCCTGCAGCCCAAACGGAGAGGAATGTTTCCTTCCCAGCCCCACACTGCCGTGGCAAGGCGAGTGGCAGTGCCTAGGGATGCAGGACATATGGATTGGCCAAAATTAGTGATTATCTTGCCCCAAACTGGTCCAAATGGACAGCAAATTACCTATACAGGCATCAGAAGGTGTTATCTTGCCCCAAACTGGTCCAAATGGACAGCAAATTACCTATACAGGCATCAGAAGGGATCTAGGAAACATGCTGACTCCTCCCAAGCACTTGCCGCTTGCCGCAGGACATTGCCAGGATTTCTCGTGTTTGTAGTAAAAAAATCCAGTTCTGGAGGAACAATACAGGTTTGTTTACTTCAACATCAAATACTTGATTTTATCAAGTCTTTCTTCCTCTGGAACCTTCCTGCTCCTGTGAGGATTCCAAATGGTTCCTTACTTTTTTGAAGAAGAGGTGGGGGAAAAAAAACCCCACCCCAACCTTTAGGTAGTTGTCCAGTTTCAAAAGCCCTTGGAGACGCCACACCAGCCGCTCCGCCCTGCGTGCCCATGGTGCTCAGCCCCCTGGAACCAAGTTACCAAGCAAGACGTGCAGAAGAAACGCTTGTTATTAGAAAGAACAAGGTCTTCAGCAAAATCCCATTTCCAGACCCCAAAATAGGGAGGGAAAAAAAGAAAAAATAACCCAAAACCTCATGTATTGAAAGACCCTTGCTCCGCCAAGCGCCCAGCTCTGGTGCTGAGCACCAACATCGTGGCTCAGAGCCCAGCTGTGGCCCATCGGCTGCTCGCATCTCAGGGGGGGAGACATCGGCCACCGTTCAGTGCTGCCCAGGCGGCGCAGGCGTTGCGGACGAGAGGCTGGGGAGCGGGGAGAGCTCTGCTAACCGCCCGCCCAGCACGGGGCCGTGCAGCATCCGTCACGGCAGGGCCAAAATGACGGCTCGATGAGGGTGACAAACGAGGCAAGAGCCTCTCGGGGCCTCGCTGCACCAAGCCCTTTTTCCCCCCCCTCTTTCAGAAGAGGTTCCGCAGAGGATCCGCGATGCCAGAGCGAGAGGGAGTGCTGTAGCTCACCCTCGACATTTAGACACTGGGGGAAAGGAAAGGGTTGCTGCTCTCCTGCTTCGCCCAGCTCAGCTCTGGATTTCATCCTCCACTTAACCCCCAGATAAAGTCTTCACAGGTCCACAGGACCCAGCAAGAGCATGGCAGGATGGCCCAGCCCCGCGCCCTGCCGTGCCATGCCCGGTGAGCACACGCAAGAGGCTCAAAGGGACGTTATCACCCCACCTGCAACCGATCTGAGCGTGATTTCTTGCTATTTTTTTGGATGCCTGCTACGTGCCAGCACACACCCTGGCAAGCTGGCTCTGATCTGGGGAGGTGCACGTTCCTCTCCAGACACACCAAGTCTAGAAAAAAATAAAAAGAAAAAAAAAAAATCCTCAGGGAGCAGCAGCTCTGCCTGCCAGGGCAAGCTCAGGAAAGCAAAGCTCGCTCCCAGCTGCCATCGCCTCTCCCCTGCCAAAAGTCCTGCAACCTCCGCAGCCAGAACGGGCCACGGATCGCTTTCGCAAAGGGTGACCCTCCG